AAAAAGTTACATAGTGCACTTTTAAACTTAACTTAAATTTAGTCTTAAAAGGTCACAATTACTATTTTCTGCAGGGGGTCTCCATAGAGATATTGCTTTGCCTTGAATGTTCCGCAGTATGGCATTAAACGTGTCTATCTTGTATTTGTTTAGCTACAGGTATTTTTATTGATAAAAAACACCTTGAAAAACATGCATTCTTACACATCATCAGCTGGCTCGCCTCTCCATAGAGCTGACCCGGACTTGGCCTTGTGGTTCGTCTCCATGGAGATAGGTAAGTTGGAACAAAAAGCATAACGTTAAGATTTCACAGGGCATCAAAATGGACAAACCATAACAGAGCAGTGATAGTGTATCTGCAGGGCCGAAGCACCAAAGTTTGACAACATTTGTAAACTGTAAATGGGCTCACCTCTCCATAGATCTAACCTGGACTTGGCCTGGTGGTTTATTTCCTTGGTAACAAAAATGGACATACTACACCGGACCAATGATATCTGTCTAAACACCACACTCGTTCTATGTCCCTCCTGCTTCTGTTTTAATTGATTTAACTGTGGCCACATGTTATTATAAAAAAGCTGAATATGAAGAACATGTCCTTTAGCGAAGGACAATGTGACAGCTGATTTATTGAACTGGTGCGCAGGTTTTTCACATGAAGGTGGACCCTTTTAGCCCTCAGACTGGTGGAGGACAGACAAAGGAAATGGGAGTCTCAGCTGTATCATAACCCCTTTCTATAACATAGCACAATGGACTATGGTTTGAGAGATGTTACACTCATCCACTGTGATTTAAAACTCCCTTTGGCCATCTTTCGTTTAGAAAATTGGCAAAGAAGAATATTGCTTTGATAGATTTTTGTATCTCAAATCAAAGGTAAACCTGTAAGCCAAGATTTTATTCACACATGTTTAAGTAATCCTGCTTTAGACAGGCTGTCTCTAAAAGCTCAACATGCTCTGCTCTGTTGTGATGTCATGAAGCTGTAGTTTTAAGTAAAAGCTGTCTTTTACGTTTTTGTTCAGTAGAGATAGAGATTCCAGAGCTGAAATTGACCAAATGAGATGGGCGTATGGGGTCGAAGGGCTGTCCGGTCCCTGTATGACCAGAGCAGGAGCTGTGTTCACATTGCCGTATTGCAGTAAGTCAGACCTGTTCCCGGTGCATGTTGGACTCCGCCAGGTCTGCCCTTTGTCACTGGTTCTGTTGATTGTATTTATGGATAGAATTTCTAGGCGCAATCAGGGGTCAGAGGGGGTCCAGTTTGGCGACCACAGGATCTAATCTCTTCTGTTTGCAAATGATGTTGTCCTGTTGGCTTCGTCAGGCCAGGAACTGCAGCAGGCACTAGGGCGGTTTGAGTGCTGAGTGTGAAGGGGCTAGGATGAAAATCAGATCCTCTAAATCCAAGGCCATGGTTCTTGACCACAAAAAGGTGGCTTGCCCTCTCCGGGTGGGTGGAGAGTCAAGTGGAGGAGTTCAAGTATCTCGAGGTCTTGTTCACGAGTGAGGGGAGGATGGAGCATGAGATTGACAGGCGGATCAGTGCAGCATCTGCCTAGATGCGGTCGCTGTATCGGACCATTGCAGTGAAGCGGGAGCTGAGCTGAAAGGCAAAGCTCTTGATTTACTGGTAAATCTACGTTCCTCCCCTCACCTATGGTCATGAGCTCTGGGTAATGACCGAAAGGACAAGATCACGGATACAAACGGCTGAAATGAGTTTACTTGGGAGGGAAGAACTCAGCCTAAATATGCAGGGTTTGTGTGTTAAATGTGTGTGAATGAAACAAAACACAACTCCAGGTCTGTTTGTGATGAGGAAACAACATTATAACATAGATCAGAAAATATATGAGCCCTTAACATAGCAAACAGTACTAAGGCAAATTAATACTTGTATCACTTGTACTTGTATGTTTTTTCCATTTAAAAATGTTATGTTCAATAATAATTAAATAGAAAACTGTGACTTAATACATTGAAGTCAACTGGAGTGAGCTGCCTGCCCTGCACAAGACTGAATCTACAAAAATATAATCTGAAAGTTCAAAATGTGTTTTTGTTTGTGTTTGAGATGGAATTAGCTGCTATTGAATTGAAAACAGCATATATATTCCTGTCGGACGTGATGGATTGCATATTAGTGTCAGTGGTTAAATGCACAGACAAACCCAATGACCTCTTTTCGCATTGTAAATTTCAAACTAAAATTTCACCTAAAACCATGACCCGGGACTAAAGCAGAACTGTTGACAATATCACTGATAATGTCAAACAAATGCTTCAGCAGTCACGTCAACAGTTGTATTTAAATGAAGCCAAAACATCCCTATTTACAAACAGGCCAAGACAGCTGCAGACTTTAGACCTTGGACTATGAGACTCTGTAAATCATCTATGTTCCAGTGTGACTGCTTCAGGCTTGTCTCTGCACACAGATATGAGAACACAACTATATGACAAGTCTCCAGTATATTCAAAATAACTGCTCACTTTAAGCTAAGAATACATATTGTTTAACATTTAGGCAACTTACTTTTGGATGGTTAAAGGGCCCACATTATGCTATTTTCTGAGCTGTTATACTGTTGTTTCCTCATCACAAACAGACTTGGACCTGTGTTTTGTTTCATTCATATTTAGGCTGAGTTCTTCTCTCAAACGGAATCTGATCAACCTTGTGATACCATGAGGTAAAAGAAAAAAAAAAAGTAAAAGGACTAAAGGTAAGCAGTAGCTGTTAACTTGAAAACTATCACTACACGCAAGATAGAACAGAGCACTTTGAGTTTTGGAGATGTCGACATTTCTCAAACATGTGTGAATGAAACCAAGCACAATCAGGTATGTTTTTGATTATAACTTGGCTCACAAGAGTCTATTTTGCGTACAGGACCTTAAACCCATGTAACAGCAACAAACTAATGATAACTGAAAAGCTATTATATTAAACCATGACCAACAATTGAAGAAACCCTGCCCTATTGACACCTAATACCCTACGTCTTATATATAGCCTAGATACATTTTATTTATTTATTTATTTATTTTTTACAATATTTTTAATTATACTCCAACATATATTGATCTATTGCCTTACTTGGCTATTGCTACTATTGCTATTTATTTATAACTTCTTCCACCATATATTTTGCCCTCTTTTTTATAATATTGTAATGTGTGTGTCCAAGTAACTTCCCTTGTGGATCAATAGTTGGTCTATAATCTATAAACTTGAGATTTGAGAAAACTGCAAATTGCTGTGAGTGTAAGTTTAGTTAATCTATTTAGAATAATTTCATAATATTCCTGGTTGGAGAATACCATGAAGTTGGACTGGATAGGCCTGTCCATAGATTTGAGTCAGTGCTGTTAATGTGTGCATGTGACTGTACCAACAGAACCTTTGATCTGAGCAAACCCCGAGAGGCAGATCACGTCACGCTACAGTTAAAAGCACTTATTACCAGTCAATTATGCAGTGATTTAGGGTTTGTGTTGTCACTTGTGCTGTTCACCCTTTATTTTTAGGCTACTCTTTAAAAACATTGCTTCTAGATTGCTCATACTTGTATCTGATCTATGTATTATTTAAAAATAACTATATAGAGAATGGACAACATTATCAATTTATAATCAATTGAACCATAAGGGGTCACTATTGTGGTCCTTCTTCACCCGATCTTTGTTCCATTGCCAAACCTGGATAAATGAAGTAGACAAATCTTGAAATAATTTCCACTCTAAAAATCATTTAAAGGGCCTATATTACATTGTTTTCTGATATACTGTTTTCTCATCACAAACATGCCTGGAGTTGTTGTTTGTTTCAGTGAGAGGTAATTGGAGTACAGTTACTTTGTTGAAATAAATGAATTACACGGCGGTATTTTCCTGTTTTTTTTGGGTAATTCCACTCATTCCCGGACACTAAACCAGATCTAAACCAGGTCTAAAACCAGGTCTAAACCAGTTCTTAACCTGGTCTAAACCAGGTCTAAAACCAGGTCTAAACCCAGGTCTAAAACCCGGTCTAAAACCAGGTCTAAATCGAGGTCCAACCCAGGTCTAAAACCAGGTCTAAACCAGTTCTAAACCTGGTCTAAACTAGGTCTAAACCAGGACTAAAACAGGACTAAAACCTGGTCTAAACTAGGTCTAAACCAGGACTAAACCAAGACTAAAACCAGGACTAAAACCAGTTCTAAACCAGGTCCAAACCAGGTCTAAAACCAGGTCCAAACCAAGTCTAAGCCAAGACTAAACCAGGTCTAAACCATGTCTATAACAGGATTTAACAGGACTAAACCATGCCGTGCGGACCATGTCTCCTCCTCTTCTATCAATATTTTTATTACGGTAAAGTAAAGTCTGGGCTTTTTTATTGCCTTTTAGCAAACAAATGCTAGATTTCCTCGTCTTTGCTTCTCTACAGCAAATCAAGTAATCCAAAGTATTCAGATTACGTTACTCACTTGAAGTAATTTAATGGATTACATTACAAACTACATTTTGGTGTATGTAATCTGCAATTTGTAAGGGAATACATTTTAAAAGTGACCTTCCCAACACTGTCTACAGTAAGTAAATAACTCTTCAAAACAATCTATATAGACAGATAGCCTCCTGATATGAGTGAACCGTGAGCATTGGCCATAGAAAACCAGTATCAACAGATCCTCCAGCATAATCTCCACTGCGGGGAACACACGGATATCAACAGGCCCCTCAAATCATCGCATCCCGCTCTCACTACGGGAGAGAGAGAGGGACACGGCGGCTGATGGGGCTACCGCACGCCTAAAAGGAATCACTCTTTCAACATTGCCAGAGAGAGAGAGAGAGAGAGAGAAAGACAGAGAGAGAAAGAGAGAAGAGGCGCGCGAAGAGAGAGAACCGGGCGGACGACATTCACCTCCCCGCGCATCGAACGCTCCACTCCGGCCACTGGTGCTGGGACTCCCCGCGCGACCGAACGACCGGAGGTGTGGGAGGGAAGACTCTGTGCGGGGCGATCGTCTCGTCTGTGACTCTGGCGCTGAATTCACGCTTCGAGGGGATACGGGAGAGCCACGGGACCCGCTCCGAGGACAGGAACGGGAAATTAAAAGCGAGTTTGTCAAGGATTTTCCACCGGGAGACTGCGAGAGGAGCGCCGCTGGAAAAGTCACATTGCATTGCGCGACGTGGGTGAGTTTACGCTAAAACTGTTGTAAATATGCGTGCATTGCGTAGGTTTAAGGTAAGCTACCGTGCAATTGCTGAGGGTTGTAACCATTTTTACACTTCTGGTTTCACTTCATAAACTGGTTATTTGATTATGTGTATCGCAGTGACATTTGGGCACGTTTTGGAGCCGATCTGGGGTAAAATATGCGTAAAAACTGAGCAGCATCGGTCGAGCTAATGCAATGTGAAGGTTGTGGACGGCAGCCGGGATAACATTGCGTTACACCGGGGCCGTGGGATTTCGTCTACGTGTGTTTTTCTCATTTAGCCGCTAAAGAAAAGCGAAAACCGAGGAGAGGAGCGCTCCCTTTCCCGCATGTTAATGGGGTATCGTTGAAACGCGACCAAAAAGAGGCTAAAAACAGGGGAGGCTAGGTATTTTTGTGTTTTGTTTTTTTTTTCGGGGGGGAATTTGAAAGACAAACCCCGTTTTTTTTTTTTTTTTTTTTTTTTTTTTTTAAAGCCATCCTGTTGTCATGGAGACGGGCTGGAGGCTGCTGCTGCTCCTGCCTCCGTCTCTCCGCGCACAGAGGGGACACACGGAGACAATGAACCCCGGCTACACAGCACACGGAGCCGATACGTGTTTGTGGGTTCTGGGGGGCACTTTGGAACCGACCCAAGTTACCAACAACACACTAAAACCACGTTGCATCTGTTTAAAACACTGGGGTTTATGTGCACTGTGTTGTTTTGCACTATGCTAGGCTAAGTCTTATCCATATTCTGTTAAGCAGCATTACATTAGCCCTTGATATTTAGGCTATCAGTGTTAACTATTAATAGAAAATACTATTGTGGCCCCCGTAGTCTAAAAACAACCTGGACTATAGCATCACAAAATCACACTTTGTTGTCCATTGTCATCTATCTTAAAGGGATAGTTCGGATTTTTTGACATAAATCTGTATGGCATCCCCGTCATCAGTGTTGTGCATTCACACCGACTTACCCCCGAAAGCGTCCGGTGAGCCGAGATACTGGCCCGTTTTGGTGCTGAGGAAAGTAGTTCGGCAAGTTGTGTGGGGAATGTATACTAAAGCGTTTTTCTTCTCAAAGCAATATGTGTTCAAAAGAGTGATACATTTGCATCACAAAACCATCGTCGCCAAAAAAGTCAGATCTCATAATCGCTTGGCGCTATTTTCTCTCCGTACGTACCACTGCGCGCGGCCGCCAGGTGACAGCCGCGCACGGATCCATCACTTTCCTCAAAAAGGCAAAGTCTTTATTGTCGGTGTCATAATCAGACATGTTGTCGCTAACATTCCGAGCAGTAAACAAAGTGAACCAGGCTCATATACTTATGGCTCTAGCTCTCTCGTTAGCTCTCTCGTTAGCTCTCTCGCGTGGCGGCGGTCTGCGCATGTAAACACTGCCGAACAACTGAAGAAAGTGTAGTAGAACAGCTTTAGTATACAGTCCCCACACAACTTGCCGAACTACTTTCCTCAGCACCAAAACTTGGCCAGTATCTCGGCTCACCGGACGCTTTCGGGGGTAAGTCGGTGTGGATGCACAACACTGATGACGGGGATGCCATACAGATTTATGTCAAAAAATCCGAACTATCCCTTTAAACATTTAAAAGTAACTATCATGGGTCAAAAGGGCTGCTTTAAGCTTAAATACTGTCAATAAATGCATTGTTGGGGAGTAACAGATTACATGTACCGGAGTTACATAATCAGAGTACAAATTAGGAGTAACTGTATTCAGTTACAGTTACTGTTTCAGTGAGTGGTAATTGGATTACAGTTACTTGGTTGAAATAAATGGATTACACTGCGGTATTTTCCTGTTTTCACATTTTCACTATATTCCTTTTGTTTTTTTTGTTTTTTTTCTTTGTAATTCCACTCATTGACACTAAACCAGGTCTAAAACCAGGTCCAAAACCAGGTCTAAAACCAGGTCTAAACCAGGTCTAAAACCAGATCCAAACCAGGTCTAAACTAGGTCTAAACCAGGACTAAACCAGGACTAAACCAAGACTAAATCAGGACTAAACCAAGACTAAACCAAGAGTAACCAGGTCTAAACTAGGACTAAACCAAGACTAAACCAGGTCCAAACCAGGTCTAAATCAGGATTTAACAGGACTAAACCAAGCTGTGCAGATCATGTCTCCTCCTCCTCTATCAATAATATTTTTAAATTTGGTTCAGTAAAGTCTGGGCTTTTTATTGTCTTTTAGCAAACAAAACTTCTTATGTGAAGATTTTCTGGTCTTTGCTTCTCTACAGCAAATCAAGTAATCCAAAGTATTCAGATTATGTTACTCACCTCAAGTAATTTAATGGATTCTGTTACAAACTACATTTTGGTGTATGTAATCTGTAATCTGTAGGGGAATACATTTTAAAACTGACCTTCCCAACACTGAATAAATGTCATTTATACTCCAGAAATGGTTTGAGATGAAACAATTACATTTTTGTACCACCATAGTCTCCCCAAAATCTCCTGGATGACTGTGCAGGAGAGAATGAGAAGCCCTTTTCGATCATATAAGATTACCTCCTCTATAAACATGATTTTATCACAAAAGTCATGAGCAGGCATGTTGACTTTCAGTAGTCCAAATATTAAATGTCATTACAAATCAATGTTTTAATTGTCTTTTAAAATAGTCCAGTGAGGAAATGCACTGATACTGGTATCGTATATCGGCGCCGATAATGAACATTTTGGTGCATCAGGTATTTGCTTCCAAGATATGGATTCAGCCGATATCCCATTTTGGTCTATAAATTGGTGTAATATGATTTACTTGCCGATGTTAGTCCAAAATGTCTCATAATATTAAACTTGTATTTTTATTAGTCTTAGCTACTTGTAGTTCTGTAATTACTTTAAATGATGATGATAACAGTTACAAAACGCATTTGGACATCTATTTTACTATATACCGTTTGTGTTTAAAGGAAATAAAGCATATTTTCAGTCTCTGCCCTGGTATCAGTTTATATTGGGTAACAGCAGATATTTAAACCCAAAGTATCAACATCAGTATTGAAACTTTAAAAAGTGGGATCAGTGCCTCTCTAATCAATACATGCCTATTATTTTATTAATAGATTTCTGGCATAATGAAACCCGAAAGCACATTCCCAGTTTATTAATGTTGGTCTTAAACATTGGCATTAAAGCTATTTCTTATTCTCATTAGCCTGATTGCAATGTATGGGCAATTTTAATTACTATGGTAACCGTGCTGGATTTAGTGTTTCCTCTGAAACCCGTCCATGGATAGCATATAGTCATACTAGTCTACTATATGGCCTAATTGTCTAGTATGAGAAGACTACAGGTAAAGTGGGTTGACAGTCTGAAAAAGCTTAATTTGGTTATAGCCAGCAGGGAGCCCCATTCTTGAACTGTCTCATATTGATCTAATTAAGGTGGGCACAATTTAGGCTAAGACACACAGTGACTACAATACTGTCAATATTTCAAACTCGATTACAATACCACAATGAAGATAAAAATGCAAGAATGCAATACATAAAATAATTGTAGGTATATACTTTTTATTATGTTACCATGAGGTTCTGATTAAGCTCAAAATGACACTTAAACTGTTCAGGAAAACTCAAATTTTATCCTGTGACTGTGATTTATTTTATTTTTTTGCAGTATCTATACTTGTCCAAATGAGTATCTAGTTTCGTTATTAGTTTTAGTGTTGTTGAGTGTCTATATTTTTGATGCTTTTGACCACTTACTAGTGAATATAGGTTACTTACTGTACACATTTCACAAAAGAGGCAACAGACAATGAGTTGGTTTGTGCATTTTGGGGGGGGCATGACCCACAGACATAATACCCCTATTATTATTGTTGTTGTCCTATTTTATCATTGAATGCACGGCTCTTTTGGATACACAGTGAAAAGCTCAGCCTAAGAGATCTGGTGTAGTAAGTGTAATATCGAAAAATACATTACTGGTGCATCAGATAAAGCAATCTAGCACACGCTCTGCTAAAACTGCTGGGTAATATAATGCTGAGGGGGCAGTCACACAATGGACTGGGGGTATCAAGGGTATACTCCCATTTGAGTCTGCTTAAAGGACATTTGGAAAAACATATTTGAGGTTGTGGAGGTTTTTAATCATTGAATCGATAAGTAGTTTACAAGGACTGTGTTTGTAAAATTGACTCTTTTGAGCTTTAAGTCGTGTTGGAATCTTGTTACCTTCTCAAAAACATAGCTGGACTTGTGTTTTGTTTCATTCACACATGTTTGAGTAACCCTTTGTTATTTGTCTGTCTACGTCTCCAAAGCTCAAAATGCTCTGTTCCACCTTGTGATGTCATAATGTCTATAAATAATTTTACCTTTAGTTCAGTAGAGATTGGCAATTCCAGGGCCGAGGTGTTCCACATGATTCTAGTGAAGGTTGTATGGAGTTTAAAAACACGGTGGCACCCTTCCTGTATTACCACATGACATCACAAGGTGGAACAGAGTGATTTCTATTTGAGAAAAGAAATCAGCCTAAATATGTAGGGTTTGTGCGTTAAACATGGTTTGTTTTGGATGAGGAAACAACATCATAACACAGATCAGAAAATATCGTAATATGGACCCTTTAAATATTAGTTGTTGGTGTTTTGTCTGGTTGTTATTACTGTACTGCATGTTGCGTCACAGAGCAAAGTTAACAAATTCCAATGTAGTTTCAATTATCTGAAAGAACTGTGTTTGTTGACAAAGCTGATAAAGTGATTGCTTCATCTACCTAGTTCTATAAAACTGCTGTGTAACTGATTCTTGTAGCTGATCATCGACGTCCCCTGGAAGCTGACTGGAGGCACTGCTCTACCTGAAGTTCTGTTTAGGCTTCAGTCTGAGCTATAGCTTATTTAACACAATCTGACCAGAAAGAATTGACTGATCTAAAAAAAAACATCTAAACAGGACCATGAACGCTCGTATTCATCACAGGCTCCT